TTTATGACGTCACAATCGTGTGTAGTACTGCTTCTAGATCTGTGCCAAGTAGGGTGGACCACCGAACTCGGCCAGATTTCTACTCGCTGTGACCGATCACGGCCAGTGATCGTACTCGGCCAGCATATATGTTAATGGTTTGTCAAAGGGTTTGTTAATGGTTTGTCGATTTCAGTGACGCAACAGCGAGCGCTGTATTACAGACTGCCAGAGTCATATCACAATAAAATATAAAAAAAATGTACGGGCGTCAAAGGGTGTCGATTTCAGTGATGCTTATCGCGCTTTGTTAATAAAAAAGGGTTGTCGATTGTTAAAAAATAAGATATGGCCACAAGGGTTATCTGTTTCAGTGACGCAGTGCTTTATGGTTACAAAAACGTTGGGGTTCGTGTAACCACGGTGGTGTAACCCTCAGACATGGTTAATTAACACATCGTGCAAGGTGTGATTCTTTTGTTAGAGGCTTGTTATTGTTTCCGTGTCACAAGCTGCAGCAACGAGCGCCGTGTTATTTATGAAAAAAATAAATACTGCACGGACGGCAAGGGTTGAATCAAGAGTGAAGAGTAATCTTCAGTGGAAATGAAATACAAGAGTTTTGAAACTACGCCATGTTATTGTATATACAAACCGGTAGGCGTTAGGCAAGCAACAAGCAATATGTTGCCATGACGACCCGGCCCTGGTTTGGACGATCCAAAACAGATTGGGTATAAATTATATTCGATATGCGTTCATATCTAATGTTAATATATTAAATGCACAACGAATGTTTGACTATCTTACTCACAGCTTATTTTTAGTCTTTTGCAGGGCATTTTCACGATTTAACACCCTATTTTACACAATGCAGCAGATGTTGTTGTTTTTTTATTTACTCGCCACCGCCTTTGTACTAGACACCATATGGTCCCGAGTGATTGACACTGTGCAGTGGACCTGTGTGACTCGAAGGCCGATACCTAGAATACACATCTAATACATCTAATACAAATCTGTTTCAGACAGGGCTCGAATGCTCATTTGTGGTTTGTCGCGTGATGAATTGAGAACGTTGATAGAAAGAGGAAAAGAATGTTGCAGTTTATGTAGGCAGACAAAATAGTCTGTATTGGTCTATCAGTAAATAAACAAATAAACTGTTTCTTTGCTCGTTGTGCTTCTGGTTGTTGAGCAATATATTTCAGGGTCCGTATTTTTGTGGTTTGTTAGGATGTGTTTTCATGGGGAATTACGTGAATAAATTAAGAACTGAAGTCGGAATGTAACAATGTAGCAAGATGTCCTACTCTGTCGCCAAGTTAAATGCCCGACTTCTTGTACTTTATTCGCTAAATTGCAAACAATGACCTTTCGGTTGGCGGCAGATCATTGTTTAAGGAAAAAAATTCACGGCAACATGAATAGAAGTGAGTACGTAATTGATGATACCGCCTGTACTATACTTCGACATGTCGCTTTCGAGGCATAGTTTGCAATAGAAAAAGTTATGGTCGCTGAGGTAGAATTTAGTGAGATTTTTGCGCATCTCAATATTTTGCAGAGTAACAAGGTAGGTTTCTAAAGCAAAAATTGTTTTTTAATTCTCATTATGTTTCTTAATTTATTTTTTAAATGTGGCGCAATCGTTATTCGAAATAACAGTTTTCACTGTTTTCATATTTCCATGTATATTATCAATTTGTGTCATGTTTTTTTTTCAACTTTATGGTCACAAAAACATTGGAGTTCGCGTGATCGGTGCGTCATAGCTACAAGCGTGGGCATACTAACTTGTTATCGACAGCCATGGATGAATAAGCACCTCGTGCGAGGCTCGAAGCTTTTCTTTGTTTTAATGTGACTGGTGGCATACGACAGGGGAGCTCTTCTTTAACAAGTCGGTCAAAGGTGTGACCACGTGTAGTTATCAACAGTATTTCCATTGTGATTTTTATGCCAAATATGTCCATTCTTTTATTGAAACACACAACTTATTACTGCTGGTTTATATTTTATGGATTGCGTCGATCTCTCAAGATACGCACAAACACAAGCACTCATGCTATTGCTATTTCCCCTATGTACAACAACTTGTACCTTATAAGCGCGGCGTAATTACACTTATTTACCAATAACTCCAATCTTACAAGAACGATGTATTTGCACTTATTTACCAATAACTCGTATCTTACAAGAACGGTGTATTTGCATTTATTTACCAATTGCAGTGTTCAAATTGGTCTGTACTTTTCCCAAATAAAATTATTTTTTTGAAAGTAACAAGTCGTGTAAAGGTGTTTTTATTCCTAGCAGAATTTGGCAAAGAATTCTGCTTATGGCTATCAGCCGCTAGAGGGCGCAGCCATGGCTGTGAACGTCCCAATAAAACCAGGACGCTTTGCCAAAATGTTTTTGTTATTCCTTGGAGGTATCTTATTACATCCATGGTTTTTTTCCAGCGATTAACCGTTATAATGTTCTTATTATTTTTATTTTCATTCATATATACTGCTCCCCAGCTGCAGACAATATATATGTGTGAGTGTAATCACACTGGGTGAGAAAAATGGTATAGACGATGTAATAATCTGGTAATAACCGCGTTGTGTTTTTTAAATATATAAGCAATGTATACATAGCTTGGTTCCGCGCATGAAGCATTGTAGCCTTTTCCTGTTTGCCAAGCACAGTAACAAGTTAAAAATAAAGTTCTTTTGGTGAGTTAATCTTGCATAAATCTTGTTTAATAAACTACCCACTACAAAGCCATCCGTGAATCGATCTAAAACACTACTGCGTAGTTCATTTAAACACACCATGGGTTAGGGCCGATTGTGAATCACACTTGTAGCCTTGTCAAATGGTTTATTATCACGGTGATATGAGTCAAGACGCATGTGAATCGTACTCAAGCATAGTCCATTATTATATATACTAGTAGTTTATTTTACAATAACATGAAATCGACAATGTTTAGCCAATGTTGAAATCAACATCTTGAACATGCCGAAGAACCAGTAGCGTTTGTGTGTGTATGTATGTAAACTTGCGTTGTTGAAATCGACAACAAAACAGTCACGGGAGTTAGTCAAAAACAGTCAGTGAAACGGATGCGTCACTGGGTGTGTTGTGTAGCATATAACATCTGGAAATAAAATGCAGCCCCGACAACATACGTGAAAGAAGGTGACAATTGTTGACCAATGACCAGTTTACACCTCGACATTCACAACTGGCCGAGTTGTGCATTTTTTTCTTGGCCGAGTTGAAATCTGGCCGAGTTCGGTTGTATTCCCAAGTAGAAACTTGAGGCGAAAATAATGAAAAAAAACGGCTGTTACGGCCCGACCTGATTTCAGGTCGGTAAAATATGGTAACTCGCATAGGATGGAACTGTAGCTCCCTGGTTTCGCGTTAACACCACGACGAACAAAATAACCGACAGCGAAACCAAGCGAGCTACAGAACTGCAGCTAAGTGTACGTCAATCGGAGCTCCTAAAACAACATCTGACAGCAATAACGCACCGAGAAGGAAAACAACGAATAACTACAGATTTAGACCCAAACACAAAGAGCAATTATTCAATCCAGAGATTGTTTTCGCCATGTCTTACCGTGATTGTATTGCGTTTTCTTTTTCCAGATAAACTTGCTGAACCTGGACTACCAGGTCGTTTCCCGCTTCGTCTCTGCCGGCTCGGTTTTGGACTGGGAGTCGCCATCTTGTTTAACGTTGCAGGTCAGGGGTCATATCAGAACGAGACAGAACATCGAATGCAGACGACATTGAGCTATTTGCGTCGACGTGCTAAAAATAATTGATCGTGAATATAGCGAATTAGATGATCCAGGACGAGTCACATAGAAGCCCCGGATATAACATGAATTTTCTGAGGGACGTCAGAACTTTTTCTCAAAAATCTCTGCGAAGAGTTGAAACAACTGTGGTGACCTCTGGGGGTCAGAAATTCATGGAGTGTCGCCTTGACAACGGGAAATTCAAGTTGTCAGACACGGGAGAAAGATGTATGGGATTCTGTGGTGATTATAAACCAGATTTGCAGGTTGCCTGTGTGAGGCCATGGATATTGCTGAGTAAGTTGAATTTGTTTGTGATACACAATCACAGGGAGTCCCATGCTGCATAGCAATCACGGGCGCTTGCAACAGGATTTATGGTTAAGGGAGATAGGCTTGGGTAGGGTTATATACTAGTATAGAAATAAAGACAGGGTATGAAACGTCCGCACTTGGAATCGCTGTACACCAAACGAATACGGCTGGTTTGTGAATAAACTCGCACACTAC